GCAAAACACTTACTTACTTAGGTGCTTCCTCATAGCCCAAGGATGATGATCCTCCAAGTCTGGTGTCTTGGGGGTGTGTTCGTTGGTGGCTGTGGAGCCCTATTCTTGATCCACATGTTCTCCCACAGTGAGAAGGTAGAAGGCAGTCCTGGTCAGGGTTGGCTTGATACACCTTCCTTTGTTCTCCCTTTCACCCTCCATTCGTGGTTCTTTGAATTCTGCAGCACTGCTAGTCACTGCTGACGTCCAGTTAGAGCATTCAAGGGCCAGGGTTTCCCAGTTCTCAGTGTCTATGCCACAGTTTTTAAAGTTGGCTTTAACCCTATATTTAAATCTCTTTTCCTGTCCACCAATGTTACGTTTCCCGTTCTTGAGTTGGGAACATAGTAACTGCTTTGGGAGACGGTGATCGGGCATTCGGAAAATGTGGTTGGTCCAGCGAAGTTGATGGTGTAGGAGCATTACTTCAGTGCTGGTGGTCTTTGCTTATTCCAGCACGCCGGTCTTCCCAAGAGATTTGCAGGATTTTCGGAGGTAGTGCTGATGGAATCGTTCTAGGCGTTGAGTGTGACGTCTGTAGACAATAACAATGCAGAAGACCACATAGAGTAACCAAACAAATCACAAAAGGATAAATATAAATACATCTAGTATCTATGAGTAAGCACCAACAGTAACAAAGTTTAATTTAATTGGGCAATGTGTGTTTGTTGTAGTTTTGTGGATGTGTATCTGTTAGTGGAGTTTGCATGTTCCTGAGTAAAAATCTTGTCTGCTTTTTGTTGGGTTTTTCTCTTTCACACATGGTCATTTTGCTGCTGTAATGCATGCATATGTGAGAGATTGGGGGTGGGGGTGGGGTGTTGTTTGTATTTGTATTTTGTTTGAATTCCAAAGACTCTGCCCTGAACTACAATTCCCAGAATTCTGCAGGAGCAACTCAGACAATTGGCATACAATAGCCTCTGTTTTATAATGCTCGTGAGAAAAATTAAGTTTAAGTGTATGATTAGTTCAAGTAAGGCCAAGGAATGGGGATTGGGCTAGAAAGGTTTTGAAAAAGAATTTGAAATAACATCAAAAAGATATTTTAGGACATTTCCAAATATAAGTTAATGCTGCCATTCTGCTTTTGCCCATCATAATATATTTCAGTGTCTACAACCTTCTTCAGGATGAGAAAAAAAGTTCGTTATCAAACTGCTCAGACAGAGCAGGAGGAATCACTGAGTTAAAAACATAGAAGTGGGATTGGTATTGCCCTCAGGCAGAATGTGAACAGTGTAGCCCAGGCAAAACCCCAAATATCTTTTGCCAGAACTCATGTCTTTTGCCCCCCCCCCCCCATATTATTTTAAATGCAGTTTCAAGATACCTTGCACCCAAATAGCAAAAGCCCTTCATTTCCCTTAGGTTCTGACAGGTGAGCAAAAAATGTTACAGTGTCACTTCCAGAAATGAAGGTTATAAAGGTACACTACAACTATCTGGAATTGGAGGAAGCTGGGCACCAGCATAATCTTACCCCAATGTAACGGAATACTGCAAAAGTGAAGTTAAATCATCTCTTTCACTTTTGGAAGAAAATAATGTTTTAAACAAAGTATGATAGATGCACAGTTGATCTTTCTTTTTGACTATCCTTTTTTTCCTAAGGGGAAATAATGTCTTTGATTATATTTTTGTGGATTTTAACTGTAGTTATTTTGATGCCATTTATATTTAATTGTATGTTAATGTTTTATATATTTTTAGATTTTAAATTGTATTGGAATGCTTTTAATGTAAGATGCTTTGGTCTCCTTGTAGAGAGAAAAAGTGTAGAATAAATAAATAAATAAGTAACCCTATATGTGTTCATAACACAACAGGAAATAAACATCAGTTCTACTTTGATTTTTACCGAGGTCAAGGAACCAGATCCTGCCTGCTTTTGAAAGCAAAGTATAGGGGCATTCCTGGTTAATATTTGAATGGGAGATCTCTAGCAAACTATTTCAAAGGAAGGAACTAGAAAAACACCTTTGAGTTTTCTTTGCTTAAGAAAACCCTGTAAAATTCATGGGGTCGCTATAAATTGACAGGCAACTTGAACGCATGCACACACACATTTCAGTTGACCTAAATGTCCTCCTGCTTTCTCAAAGAAAATACTCCAACTGTTAAGCGAACATCCAAAATGTTACAATTTGTCAATTAGTAGATCTAAAAGCTTAGTAAATCATGTATATGAGGCAATTAGTAAGCTGAAACTCTGATGTGAGAGGCGGTATTGACATTATAGTTTCCTGAAAAGCTTCTGGTAAATGACACTGAATATTTTATTTACACACATTATTGCTTAGTAACTATCAAAATACCAGTATCTTGGAATTTAGTACTTCACAATAAAAGCCTTATTTGTATATGTTTAAATGCTCCAAGATGGGCTGAATTTTTCAGTGTAGAGATTACAACGGATATTTTAAAATGGCAGCACTGCTTATAGGTGGCCATAATATATTTTATATTGGTGAAAAGATATTTTCAACTTGCAAATCAAATGCACATTCTCTTCACATGTCCTCTGTTGGCTTCTGACAGCTGCAGAAATTCTGGCCAAAGAACAGGGAACAGGGAAGTAAAGTGAATGTCTGTGGGTTTAAATTACCTGATTGTGGATTTATATAGGAAGAGTTCTAATATGTTCGCAGAGGTAAAGGAAAAGGCTAACTAAGAGCTATGGAGCAAAGACAGGAAATGGGTAATACAGTATCCTGGAAACAGAACAAAGACAATAGACTTGTATGATCAGATGTATCAATGGGAGAAGACACCTCAAAGAGAAAACAGAAAAAAGAAGATGTCATCAGCAAAAAGTTCGTTGCCAGAGATATGTGTGAAGGGAGTTTTTGGTTCAATCATCTGGGCAAAAACTGGGCTGAAAGAATTCCAATTAGAGAATTGACAAGGAAGATGTTGGGACACTGAAAGTGACATTTTAGCTTGGTCAAGAATAGAAGGGAAAATTAAGTGACAATGCTTTCCAGTCAGGAGGATTCAAGAAAATGATACTTTGGTGACATTAGACTGGAAATGTGGGCCATTTGAAGGAACAGCTTGTAGACTGATCGCCAAAAGGAAGCATTAGAAAAATTGTAGAAACAGTAGCCAATACCCAAAGAGTATTTCCCCAACTTTATCATTGCAACTATCTTAATTTTTTAAGGGAACTCCAAGTATTGGACATGTGTAAAGCCAGAAGAGGCTTTTTATAATATGGGGTGAACTTCTAAAAAGGCTAAAAGTATTGGGTCCAAATTCATACTTTGAAAAAAAATACATATTAACCTTCAGTTAACACTTGAACTTCATATTTTAGAACTGAGGGGTGAGGATGATGGTTTGATAACTGTTGTGTTAACTAGTACGAGTTAAATTAATTGCTGAAGTGTCATTTCTAGATAAATTAGGGAGAGATAGAATTGTAAGATTTAAAATATAACTGCAGAAAAGATTGCTGGAAGCCATGGAATTTTAGGGGTTTTTCTATGTTTTATTCAATTTTTATTCTACATAGTTTTTATCTAGTAAAAATTTCCTATCTACCTATCTATCTATATATTAATATGAAATTTCATGAACTGTGTAGAGATAAAAACCCACAGAAGAATGACAAAATGGCCTACAAAGTGCAGTACCCAGGAAATAAATAAACAATAACTATCACTGGAAAATTAAAGACTGAAATGGTTGGAAATTTTAGAGTTAAGGGGGTGAGTATTAGCTATTGGATAAACACTGGTTACATAACCAAATGAAGAATTATGAGCTGCTGGGTTCATAACCTATTGGATTATGACCAATCGGGAAAACCAATCTGGAAAACCATAATCTGTATATCTTTTAAGAAAAGAAATGGTATCCACATGTATTTATGCTTGGGAATTGCTTTTCAGCTGCTAGACCAATTTCCAGGTGACTCTGAACTAGCAGGAACAGAGAATATGTCAATTCTCTCCCCCCCCCCCCCCATATATATTTGGCAGATCTTCAGAAGTGTTTAATGTTCAAAAACATCTACTCTCCCATAAATATCTTGCTTCTATTCCATGCTCTTAGGAGTCAAATATTCAAGTAAACTTCTTTAAAATAACATATCTGTTTTACTCACAATTTCATGTAATTGAATATACAGGCACATTTCTTGTTAGTTTAAACTTTAAAATGTTTTGGTTTATGTCTTTAACTTTCAGTCTTTATCGGTTTCTTCAACACTATACAGCTCTGAACAACTCTCCTTTATAACTGTCTACTTCCAACTCTCATCTTCAATGGTCATCCTTCAACTGTCATCTCTTTGCTGTGTTCTGGTCATATGGTCTGCTCCCTCCCGCAACCTCAAGAATATAGAGTTATGAAACACTGCATACCAAAGAACACATATACACTTCAGTACTGAAACAGCATATTATATAAAGACAATTAAACAGAAGAGGCTTGAGAAGGTTGCCTATTTACAACAAGGGGTGTACATACCACTGGTTAAAATGTTCCCTGTGGGTGCATTCAAAAGGGAAAACGGGTTTAAAAACAAAAGTATTATATAAAAAAGAAAAGAGTGGAGAGAGTTGAAAGGAAGAAGGAAGGAACTACTAAGAGGGAAAAAAAAGATGGAGGCAAACCAAATATCAAGAAAAGTTAATGATCAAATAAATGAGGATGTGAAAGAAGATAAGGAAGAACATGCACAGTCAGATAGTGTTCTAGAAAGCTATTAAGATAACTTAAAGCTTACTCTAAATACTTCTTCAGTATTTAATATTTATGCATGTTTACAGCCCAGGGTCTACCTTAGAATGACACTAATAATATTAAAAATGCTTAATAGTCAGCAAGATCTGTTGGTCAGAAATACGAATGATGCTAAAACCTGTATGCCCCCATTTGTGAATTTTGAATTTTAATGCACTTCTCATATTTAATTAACTTATTTCCTCCCCCCCCCCTCTCTCTCATAGATAACTGGAATCCATTTTCCCATCCATACAAGAAAATGGATTTTGGGAAGTGGGAGTTGTTCATCCCACCTGGACCAGATGGATTTTCTCCTGTGTCTCATGGATCAAAACTTAAGGTGCTGGTTCTAAAATTATACTTTTGCTTGGTTCAGTGATTCAAAGTTGAAATTGAAGTTTCCTATCATTCTCTGATGTGCCAATTTATATTTTAAAGTTCAAAGGAGACTTGCAGATCCTTCTTTTCACCTACATGACTTCCTGTCAAAATAATAGAAAACTAGGATATCATGATTCCCCAGCGAACAAAAGGGATTATGATGAAAAAGGAAGGTGACTTAACAGCAAACCTAAAATGGCTGAATATAAATAAGGATTTAATAAATTTTATTAGAAAGCCAGGAAAATGTGTGTCTTACAAGTCAGCAAGATGGGAGATAGTGAAGAGAAGTCTAAGTAACATGTGTAATATGAAAAGTATGTAAATCCAAAATCAATTAGTAGGATTGGATTGGATTTGAGAAATGTGAGTGGGAGGAACAGACACACACACTGGGATGTAAGTGCTAGTTTGCCTCTGAATGCCACATGAATATGAAAGTGGTGTTCAGGTCCTGCTTTGGGGTTACCTAGGTAGTTGATTGAATGTGGAAATAGAATGCTGGTCTATTTAACTACTGAAATTTCATATATAGCAATTGTCATTCTTTCTCTTTCAAGAGGGTTCTCAAGTCCTGCACTACTCAAGAAATGGCTCTTTGGTGAAAATAAGAATAACTACTGGGTAGTATTTTTTTTTTTTTACAAAGGGCACCATACCTTTCATAGAAGGTGTTGTACAGGCAGATATACACAGCAGGAAGAGATGTGCATACATCAAGCAATTGTTAAATCTAAGCATGACAACATGTAAACAGAATTCATGGAAGAGGTGGCACGGCAGAAGCTTTGTCCTATGTTGCTACATGCCAACTTCATGGATCATGGGAATTTAGTTGTTCAGCAGCTATGCCTGCTAGATTTCACTCCCAGCAAATTATGAAAAATTCAGTGTTAAGGATTTCTAGCAGAGCAGCTTGCAAGTAGGTCAGAGTGAAAGGAAAAATGAATTTGCTGAAGAAACATGCACCTTGTCAAGGAACCTTGAAAAGGTTGACCTTTATAGCTCATTTTATGTTTGGTTTGACTTATTTTAATATAATTATATTAATTGAAAATGAATTTGTTTTTTGTTTCCCTTGGTTTTGTTTGCTTATGTGAACTTCTCATTCTGAAGCCAGATACTGTAGTCATAAAAGATCACAATAAATAATTTTATAATGGCAGCAGAATGGAATAAAATATCATGTATAAGTAAATTTTAATGTAGGAGATTTTCTTTTTCTTTTAAGAAAGCTCTGGAAAAGTAAGACAATATATACAGGAGATTAGCTCCTGCAAAGATGTAATCACTAAATCTCCCAATCACAGTTAACAACTAACAGTGGGTTACCCTAAAGTGGTAAGCATTTTATAAACCTGTAAAGAAACAATTGTATCACTCTAATTCCATTTTAACTGCTGTGGCTTCATCGTAAGAACTCCTAGGATTGGCACTAGAGGCACTAGAGCCCTCTTGCTGAAATGCTAAATATGTCCCCCAGAATGTCATAAACTAGAAGCATGGCAGTTACATTTGAATCATAGTGTTATAATTATATAGTGTGAAAACTGAGATGTTTTGAATACTGATGATTGTTGTAGCTAGAAGCCATGGCAGTATAAAACTTTATTGGTTTGTAGGTAAATGATAGGAATGTTCAGGAATATTTCACGCAGTTTGAACTGGGAAGATGCAAGGCACTTCACATAGTTGCAAACTCTTTCAAATTATGAACAGTTTAATATTTAATAATGTTTAAGTATCTTCAGTCATTTGGTCGATTGTTAAAGGGATCTTTAATTTAGACAACTGTATTGGTCATACTCCAGCAAAGGATCACCGCCTTGTCGGGGCGCTGGAGCTTGAGCACCTCAATGATGTCATG